ACTTAAAATATCACTGCTGCTGAGGCACTAGTTAGCGAATCTTACGCAGGGCAATGATCCAAGTCCAGACAAGAATCTCCATTTGTGCATTTTATTCCATGATCCAATATCATTTACAAAAGAACAATGCACAGGTTTCCTATATTCCTTTCCTTAAGCCTTTCCTATGACTTTTCTTCTTTATCCTGCTTGAATCACACTGGTAAAAAAACAGTGTGCCTGCTAGTGCTCTACTCCCACCGCCACTTATCTCCGATATATAGCATTACACCAGATGCTCTAATCACCCCGTGCCCAAACATGCCTTCAAAATAAGAGAACTACTACTTTAACTCACTTCAATAACGACACTAACCAAGAATACATTTACTATAAACACAAACGGCAAGAAAAGTAAATGTTTAACTATTAAATAATATAAAGCAATATATAGCTCCAACAGTTTTTATGTAAAAGAGCCGGTGACAGTATAGCGGTTGTCTTGCGGAGGCTGATTGACTTCAGTTCAGTGTATTCTAGATGTCACCTTGGCATGTCACGTGAATAAACCAAGCTCTGCTGCTGACCCCCCAACTCTGTTTGGTGCTTCGACACCCCTCCTCCAGCAGACTTTCTAAAACTTTTAGTCGTGTGATACATTTTTTGTCTGCTTATTTGGTTATCGTTGAGCCGCTGAATAGACCCAGGAGAACCATGTCAGGTGAAATAAACCCTAAATGGTCATTTTGAGTTTTTTGGCTCCGTGCCTTTAATGTATGCGACCCCTATGGGTGGTTTAAGCGGTTTAGGCAGTGGGTGCAAAGAGGAGCTTTTTTAATGACAAAGCTAATGTGATTATCTGAGTGAGTGTGAGAACGGGGTATTGAGGGCTTAGAGGTGGGAAATCTGTTGGCAGAGATGAATGTATAAGCCTAATCCTATCTGAAAAGTAGGGAGAAGATGCTTTGGAGCAATTGCAGTGTTTTTTTTTCACAGTATAAATCTTTGGTTGGACATGTCTGTGGCCCTCCTCATCCATCGACCACCAACTCCTCCCCAGTCCTCAGACAAAAGCCTTAGTAACAGACTCCACACTAGCTCAGCTCCCCTCCAACCTCCATACAAGAAAGCCCAGTTTCTCCGCCTCACAAAGAGTGCAGAACAACAGCCAACTCTGCCGCTGCAACCATAACAACTCGCAGTGAAATTAAACAAAAGCTGAAACGCAAATATTTATCATCCATGCTACTTATTCCGAGAGATCAACCATGGTTAAACAAAATAGCCGTACGGAGAGCAAAACTTAGCAAAATGTAGATCATTGCCTTAAAGTTAATGGACGCTTTTTTCCTCCCGTGCCAAGATTAGAGCCATAAATTCAAGTTGATTCCAAGGAATTTCATATGCTAATCAGGCGCCACCACTTTTTATGTGGAAAAACACTTTATGGACCACAAGAAAACAAGATCCAGTCTTGTAAACAATATGGAGAACCATACGGGAACAAGATATTTATATTTCTAAGTTTAAAAAAAAAGGCATGCCGCTGTATTTATCTGTACATTTTTGTTGTTTTCCCGTCAACCGGTCAACAATTATTGTCCTCCAAAATTCAAATTTAAATATAAACTTTGTGTTACACTTGGGTTTTATTCTCATTATCACAAGTTTGAGTCTTCTTTTTGGAATGTATGGTCAATAGAAATCCTTTAAACAAAATGTAACCTCATTTCTTAGATCACAAATAGCTAAAACGTTTTATACATTTACAAATTCGACACGGGAAGACGTGGATATTATACATTTATAATAAAAGTAAGGTTTTTGTTGCAGTTCGATCAAATCCCAACATAAAAACAGTTGGAAAAGGGTCAAATTTGATCTGAGGACCACAGGAAGGTATACACCTTGTCTAAACTCTAACGCAATCACAAACGTCTTGTTAATTCTTGGTGTTTTCTTGTTCCTGTGTTATCATTTCCAAGGTGGTCTGCAAGCATCTTGCTTTGGATCCCTCTGTGTCCGACTTCCAGCTGCTGCACGGTGTCTCGGAGGCAGCAAAGGTCTACTACAACTACACCGGAAGCTCCTCCTGTCTCAACACGTCTCAGACAGCGACCGGCAGCCTGGGCCTCCTCGGCTGGTTTTACCAGGTGAGCTGACACACAGCGCAGGGATCAGGCGTGTCATTTTGAATAAATCACAGCCCAGATGTGGCACAGGGCAGCTTTACCTGTCACAATGAATATGTGTTCACTCCCTCTCTCCCAGGCCTGCACAGAGATGGTGATGCCCATGTGCACAGATGGCGTCCAGGATATGTTTGAACCCGAGGAGTGGAACTTCCAGGCCTTTTCTGATGAGTGCTACGCCATGTTTGGTGTCAGGCCGCGAGCTGACTGGGCAGGCACAGTCTATGGGGCGAAGGACATCGCCTCCCACAGCAACATCATCTTCAGGTAAAAATAAAATGGCAGACAGAAGGTTCCCTGTGTTTCCTGGATTTGGCAGGCGCAGTGAGAGTCTTTAAACTGCAGATTCTGACTGGCTTTTATTGCATACTCACAATAAGTATCCACCTGGGTAGCCACAGGAGGTAGACTGAAGTATGTAAAACTTAAATGAAAAAGCACTGACTCTGATGTGGCTCAATCACAAACACTGAGGTGGGTCTTGTTAGGTTAACTACCAATTACAGTAGCAGCTTTTGTCAAGCAATAAACAGGGTGGCACTCAGAAATGTAATGTGTGAGCTTTCAAAGCAACTGAAATACATGTCATAACAAATGCCAATCATTAATGAAAGGCGCTCAAAAATAGGAACAGCAGTATCTTACCGCCCACATGGGAGGTTGACAGATACTGACATACACAGTTGAGTGTTTTATTATATTGTGTAGCACATTTTGTCTTTTTCATATTCTGTATTTTATGTCCATGGCCACATGTTTTTTTGGTGGGAATTTCTGGTGGTTTAAAGTGACATGTTTTTCTTTTAGCTTGTCCTTATTAGGTACATGTTGATATAATGGCTACGGAATAATAACATCATCTGCAATTTCATTGGGTTTCCATTAGCCTAGCTTACACTATACAACTGGCAGCCTCTGGTTTATGATCTTCTGGAAAATGAATGCTAAGGCTCGTCAACCATTTTGCTTTAGCTATCAGTATGTATTATCTGGTATCAGAAATAGAACAACTGGAAAAATAACTATTTTGTTAATGAGTTACGGGACTTAAGAGTGTTCGAAACCTTAAGTTGGCATTCCTTCTACTATTTTAATAAGCAATTTTATCACATCACTGTGTTCTTGGAAGTTATAAGGCTCTTTGGGAAAATGAAAGGGATCCGATTGACTTTTTACAACAACAATCGTACTTGGAAATACCAGTTGGACTTGAAAGTAGTTAAAAAGTTGTCTTTGGCCACTTTAACTAAACTAACTTAATTACATAAATGAACCACCTTAAGTTAAGTTTGTGTAGCTTAGAAGATAAAGAAAAAAAAAACTCTTATGTGCATAAAATGTATACTTTGCAAAACAATTCTACCAAAAGTCCCCAATTATTGTGTAGCTCTAAATACCCTGAATCGACCTCGTAGTAAACATTGTCTGATCCTATGCTGTTGTATTTCAGTAACGGAGGACTGGACCCGTGGTCTTCTGGCGGAGTGACCCACAACATCACAGATTCTCTGGTGTCCATAATGATTCCTGACGGCGCCCATCACTTGGACCTCCGCTACAGCAACGCCCAGGACACAGCTCCAGTCCGCCATGCCCGGGCGTTAGAGGTGAAGTATTTCCGAGAGTGGATAAGCCAGGCCAAACTGCATCCACCCCCCAGACCCTGAAAGCAGCACAATGTCCCCCTACCAGGATTACCTAGCTTTAATTGATCTGACATGGTATTCAACAGGGTGACCTCTGCATCATTATGCCAAAGTGTGTGCCTTTTTTAATTAATGTGGGGGAAGATTTTTTTTACTTTGAAAGATGACCTTTTTATAAAAAAAAAAAAATCAACAACCCTTTTAATTTTAATAACCATGTCATTAATCAAATGGTGGTGTTTTAGCATCTTAATCATTTTCTTTGTCCGATACAAGCACACTCCATTTCTTTATGCCAAACTTTTAAATGTCAAAGGGCTACAGGGGTATGAGAGAAAAATGAGATATGCTTGTGATAACAGTGCTGTCTAAATGTCTTCCTTTGTTAAATCATGTAATCACATTATCATGAAAAGACTGGATCATCCTCGTTTTGTTCTTTTTCTACCCTGTAAAATTTGCCAAAAACCCATTATGGCCTCTCTGCCTCCAAGCTAGTGTTTTTCTGTTGTCAGTGTAATAATCACAGATACACTCAGTTATTCAAATATTTGATTCCATTTTTATCAGCAACTAAGGGATTTGTTGTTCTTGTTGTTGACACTCAGATCTATGTGTTCTTTCAAATGAATGTACAGTCTGATGTTAGTTCTTGACATTTCTAAGACTTCTCAGGAGAATAGTTTGGCACCAAATAGAAAGAAAATCATTCTGTTTGTTTTAAACATACTCTGCACAAAGTCTGCTATTACATTTGATATGTTATTGTTCACAGAAGAGTGTCCTCCTGGCCTTTTTAAGATGTCTATTTATGTCTTATACTAGCTTCATGTAAAATGCTGTCATTCCAAAGAAGTCTTCCATACTAACTGATTAAAAACCTGCTTATGATACGGTCATATAGACTTTCTTAGTGTCTTTTAATCATGTTTAGATGTACTGTTGCTATGTTGAGACCACTCTTTGTCTTGTTATAGAGACACTGAGACTTAAGAGTTACTTCCACCTAGCAGGAACAATTGCATGCGGCTGAGATTTAATAAAAGCCCAATCGGAGGAGGCCAATAAAGTCAGTGGTGGGAGATTATTGCAGCTACGCCTGCTGACCTCACCCCTGCCGACCAACCTGTGGGATTCCCCCTGGCACGCATTCATTCACTGCCTGCCATTAAAGCCCTAAATTGCAGCACAGAGGCAGCTCATAGACCCTGGTTTGTTCCCCCCTGCTAGTAATATTATTAATACAACTCCTGGGGTGCCAGGGAGGTGGAGAGGGGCGGATGGAAGGTTAAGAGTGAAGCGGTGAGTGGATGAGGGAAGGCAGAAACCAAGAATCCTTTTGTAGTTCTCCTTTTTATTCCCTCTTTTTTAAATGTCAAGCTAAAATATTCAAATGTCACGATAAGACTAAGACGGGCGATGAACACTCTTGCTTTTTTTATTTCCTTTGAACTATTCTTGCCCCCCCTTTCTTTTAAAGCTCTGACATAACATGACTTTGTGAAGCAGATGGGGAACATGTCCTGCACTGGTATGTGGGATGATTTTCTACCAGGAGGCACAAAGCCTGACTTCTCCGCATTTTGTCACAGGCTTGACTGGATTTCAGACATCCCAGTAGAAAGAAACCTAGCTAAACATGGGGGAGGACAGACTAAATGCCATCCTTAAAACTTTTCTCAGGACTTTGAGAGGTCATTAATTTTGCCAGCCTTTTCTTAGTCTCTGACACTGGCCATCAATCAAAGGTGTTATTACGACCCCAAACTCTGAGTATGTCCCTGCTCAGACAAGGGACCACACAGTAGTAGGAAGAGATTAAGCCTGTGTGTGTCACATCACGTTGCACCCTTCTCCCTCTAAGTTGGGTGCTGCGGAATAAGGAAATTCCCAGGGACAGAGGGTGTGGTTGTAGTGTTTAACTTTATCAACAAAAAAAAAGGGTCTTGTGTAGCAATTTGATTATTGGAAAAGGCACTGCAGACTACTAATGCTTTTCTCCAAATTAAAATTCCCCCAAAGCACCAAACCAAATGAGATTTAGAAAATTCAATTGTTTCACCTCATTGATTCTGGCCAAATAAAATATATTAAAGGAATAAATTAACAATTGACCTCATACTAAGGGTCTCAGGAGTAGAAACAAGTCAAATGCTCTCAGTTTATATGTTGTTTCCGAGCTGCTCTGCCCCCACCCATCCCCTCCCTCCCTCTCAGCCTTTAAGCAACAATAGAAACTTGTTTCCGGGGTCTGTGCGTCAGGCTCGCTGATGTGAATGACCCACCAGCACAAAAGCAAAGTCCCTTGACTGGGAAAAAAGGGGGGATATAGCTGCCTGTGATGATGTCACGTTGCCAAAATTGTGCTGCTAGCTAAGAGAGGGAGGCAGAATCACTTTGAGTAGGCGTTGAAAGCTCACTCCTGAATTCACGAGTTGTTGTGATGCGGCCTCAGCTCCGTTTTCCTCTGACACTTATCACTGTGAAGAACTAATTGTTGAATTTGCAACAATTTATTTTGGCAATTACTCCAGTAGAGTTGAATATGCAAAGTCTCTGTAGTTCCCACTTCCCACACATGAATTCTTGTTTTTCTAGTCAAATCAAAAGGCCATCTGTATAAATGGAAAATATATTCTTTATTGTTGTTAAGTTGTTGCTTTTAGATTTGAGTTTTTCTGTATTTTCAGTCACAGTGTTAAGCCGCAGATAATTAGATCAGTGCTATCACTTTCGCTGTTTCTCCCCAGGAATTAACATAAGAAAGATTTTTTTTTACGGCCTCACTCCCCTTCTGCTTCAGACTTTTCTTTTCAACTCTTAAATGAGTCACTGCCTCACCTCAACATGCACTTCAGTAAGAGGGGGGATCTTTTTATTCAGCTGCAGCATAACGTATTGTAATAATAATCATAAAATGAGTTTTCTGCATTCTCTGCCTAACCAATACAAATATGTGTAAATGCTGTACATTTTGAGTGTGTGGTTAAACTATGTCTTATAGTCTATACACTTGAAACTCTTCCAAAATGATTCCACTTAAATTGGGATAAGTGCTGGCAGCGTAACAATCTGGCTCTTGGACACATCCTTCGTTGTATTCACGGCCGGCCAACAAACTTCCTGTAAATACGTTATTGTTTACAACAGAAGTTTCATACCCAGGATTTCTTAAGGTCAACATTTCTTCTGGCACACTGAGCCTGAACTGCACTTTATTCCCCTTTAATTTAACAGCTCCGGCAGCTTTTCTAGTTAAATCGACTGTTCATTATTGAGACCCATTTTACGAAGGGGCTGTGAGGTGCAATTTAATGAATCTCTGGCACAAAGCTCCCTTTCACTGCCGGGCGAAGAATAGAGGCTATTTAGACCCTGTAGGGCTTTATGTCAAAGGCAGCCCATAATAGTTGTCAGGCCAGGGCAGAAATTCCCACTGGCCTGGGATCGCACAAGAAATCAACTTTTGCCATGAGCAGATTAAGACACAAGCGAGCAGTTGGGAAGATTCCCCCTAATAGTGGCATCTGTTTGTGCACACAGATTTTCCCACAGAATAGAAGCCTTTCTCACTACTGTAGAGCCTTGGTTTGTGGTTTGTTTCAGTGCCTAAATGAGCAGTAATTAGATTACAACTTAACTTCCATTTGTCACTCCAGAAAGGAAACACATAATGGTGTTTGAATGGTGGTTAAAATGTTTTGAAAAGCAACCAGGAATCACACGAATAATGATATCAGTTGTGGATTTTTGGAGAAAATGTTACTGCTGAAGAAATTGGTTTAGTTATTTGTTGTTTGTTTAATAATCATGTAACAAATAGTTTAAAAGACAGATTTTGGTTTAGTAATTCTACCCAGAAAAATACTCTACTATTCATGTGTATTTCAAAGGTTTTCTGCTCACTGTTACAGTCATTTCCTTCAGTTTCATGAAAGCGCTTTTGGTTCAGAGCACACACAAACAGTTAAACTAGAGGGGGAGAGTTCTGACAGAGTTTATTGTCTTCAACACAGCAGGGAATTTCAGACAAATCCCTCTTAGATGCAGGTGGTCAGGCACAAGCAAAGAGTTAAGTCCTGCGCTCTCTTTGCCCCTCCTCTTTGATGTTCTGACATCATTAGTCCAGCCCCCCGAAAGATCTCCTTGCTTTTCTCAGAGCCCGTCACTTCTACTCTGGAATGTGTGCAGCAACTTCATGAGCTGCATCAGGCCCAGGTGTTTGGAGAGAGACATGCTGTGAAGAAACTTTTAGTTCAGGGACCACAGCGGATGCCACAGGTCTAGCCGCTGGGCTCAACAGAGTAATGGCTGTTCAGACTGCAATCATGAACCCTCAGTTCATGAGTTTCTGCTTCCCTGGTTCTGTGATGGAGTACGAGGTGGAGAAAGGCCTGGATGGGAGTCTCCTCGGTGAGGCAGAAAATGACGAGGACTACAAGGAGACCACTAGGGATCTGCTGAGCTTCATAGACTCAGCCTCCAGCAATATCAAGCTGGCTCTGGACAAGCCGGTGAAATCCAAGAGGAAAGTCAACCACCGGAAGTATCTACAGAAGCAGATCAAAAGGTGCACTGGCATTATAACCCCAGGAAATGTAGCAGATGCTGCTGTTAAAAGACAGGGTTCCCCCCTGGCTCAACCCAGCCCTTTGCAGAGCAAAACTCTGCCTAAACGCGATGGAGTCCAGGCAAACTTACAGAGCAAGAGCCTGGCAGCCCTGTTTAGCCCTGTAAAGGATATAAGAGGTGAAAAAGCCAAGAAACCACCCCTAAGGCATCGCAATCTGCCCCCCTCTTTCTTCACCGAGCCTGCCAACTACTCAAAAGTCAGCTCCACATCTGGGATGACGCTGAAGGACTTGGAGCGAGGAAATCCTGAGGCTGCGGAGTTCTTCGAGCTCTTGGGGCCTGATTATAGCAACATGGTGAGCGACCAGGACCTTTATCAAAGTATGCCGGTCCGTGTGCTGCCAGAGATGGGAGGCCTGGATCCTGCTTCATACGATGCTCATAATTTAGTTGGTGGACTGCTGTACTCCGAACCCTGGACTAGCTGCTCGGGACCCTCTAAGAAACTAGAGGAGAGCCTTCGTACGGGCCCAGCCCAGCCTCCTCTCTACTGTCCCTCTGAGACTGGGTCCATAGAGGACAACGCACTGTGCACTTTGGCCTTCCCAAACTTCTTCACAGACTGCTCCATACCTCAGGTCACTTATGATTTAAGTGGTGGTTATAACAGAGCTAACTATTCATCTCTATGAGAAACTGTTCTTAGAAGTGCTGCTGGTGAAAAGCAGATACAATTGCTCTGATTAGTTTAACACTAGGCTAAGAGAATTGGATATTACTTTATCAATATTGTTTATGTGTTGTGGGAGCAATATTGCAACTGGATTTAATCATTTTGCATAATCTCCTCATTGCGTCATGTGTCACTTTCCTGGGGAAAAACAAGCAACTTCAAATATAGTATTTCATGAGAAACTGTCCAAAGCTTTTTCAAGTCAATGCATTCCATTTACCTTTTCGACATCCCAGTCTAATGAACTCTTCTGTTTTTTCTGTTAAAATGTTTCACATGTTGATATTATTTTCTTTATCTCAGGCAATTTCTAATGATAGTCAGAAAGAAAATTCATCTCATTTTGGGTGAGTTTCAGTTTTGTCAGTGGAGTGAATCCGGTCATTAATATGAAGACTTTTCATTCTTACAATTTCATGTTGGACAAAAAGAAAACATACAAGCTGCAGATATAGTTGTTGGCGAAGTCCGCTGAACCTCACTTATTGCTAGATATTATAGAAGTGTTCGTCACATTTACCACTTGTATCCAATGTATTGGAAAAGCCTTACATGTATCTAGCTATTGTAAGAGGACAAAATAAAGCTGGTCTTTATTATTGTATAACAGTGTCTGTTTTTGTGTTAATTGTTGATCATGGTTTTGTTGAGAGTTGAGTTTGTTGCAATCGCAAGTAAATAAATCAATACATGCACATTGCACTCTTATATATCCTTTGAGGGCTGCATATAATGCAAAGTGTTTCCATTCTTATCTCAACATCCTGAAGCTTCTCTACCCTGAGTTTTCCTGTTTTGTTAAATAGTATTGCTTGTTATTCCAATGCTTTTATCATCTATCTGCAACTGTGAACTACTCTTTAACCCTTGGTTTGAAGTGCTTTATGCAATCAGTTGAAACTATTGAGTCATTACACAAACAGTAAACAACGGTTTAACAGGTAGTATTTGCTTCAGTATTTCCTTACATTGCATCATATAGGTGTTTGTAATTGTTCTACTCACAGACAGTATAACAAATGTACATTTACTCAAGTATTTATACTCGCTTAAATAGCTTGAAAAGACACAGAAATGCATTGCTGATTAACCAGCATTGTTTCTTTCTGGTCCAATAAATTGGAATTCCGGTCTCATTTGTTGAGATGTTAGACAAAAGGGGAAAACAACATAACAATTCTGAGGGAAAAACAACAACTGGTACACACTGGAGAAATAATTCAGTGCTGCTTGATTGATTTTATATTTCTGCTGGGACTGAGAGCCGGCTGGTAAACACTCTGTGGGACAGAAACGCCTCAAAGTGTTGTGAGATTAGAAAAAGTAAGTTCATGTACATTTTCTAACTCAACATCATTGCCCTTAATTACCTTCTCACACAAACATTCTCAAAATAAGCAAAAATTGAGGAAGTATGACAATCATTTATATTTAATTCCCAGTTTTCACTACTGCACCACTCCATCAGTCCATTTGCTGGCTTAATATGGGCATGGGAGTTATTCATTTCCTGCAAGTTGTCTGTTGAAACCTCCAGACCATCTTTTGAATACCATGACCCCGTTAACCGTAGGCTATACATTAGTACCACCCTCTGCTGGCTGATGAAAGTCCAATTCATAGTGCAGAAATCCTGGCTCACAGTAAAGTCTGCATGGTGAACTCTTGTAGAATAATGATAGTCACATTGTTCAACATTGTATATAATATTAAACAGGTTGATTATCTTTCTTTTTTTACGTTCTAAAATATGGCGGGTACCCCCTTCAGAAATAAAGGTGTACAGATATGTAACGCTTAAGTAAAAGTTATCAGAAAAAGGGAATTGCCACAATGTCTAAATGCTTTTGTATACTTTTATATAAATACATACATTATATGTATCTGCTTCTTGTTGTACTTAAAACAAATTCAATATAAAAACAATTATAATTTATTTTGTTTCTTCTTCCATGCAGTCTTATGTGTGTGGGGATAATAGACACTTTTTCCTTGTGATATTAGCCTATTTACAGCAATGGTATTTGACCAAAAATAGTAATACAGCAATATCCTACCAAGTGAAAATACCCCGCCTACCCTAAAAATAAGAAAAAGGAAGAAAAGGAAAGGACATTTTTTTTCTCTGGTTGACTAAACATGCATGATCTGGCTAATCGCCACACTCCTTCATAACACAGTGCACACAAATCCACAAAGACCGGCAGTCTTCAGTTGTTTACGACGAGTTCACTGGGGAGTTAAGTGCTTCAGCTTGTTGTTGAAGAAGGCAGGAGCAATTTCCAGTTGTTTTTCCTACGATTTATTGACCCATAGCTCCCTTTTTCAATTTCCAATCAAGAAACAATATAAAATGGCAGAGCACCACAAACATGTCCGTCAGTGTTGTCTTCAGGCCCAGCAGCTACTAATAGCACACACTAGATGGCAGTAATGTTCCACTGAAAACTCAAATGTCCACCACTCTCATTTAGACACAGATGCACTCTGATGTATGAGATGATTTGTGAAACTGCAGTATTGTGTAGTGCTCTTTCAAATTCCATGACATAAATGAGTCCTGGATTTAGTTAGTTGGAGGGGAATGGGTGCATATAAACTGTGAGTAGTTTACATTTCTGTCTTTTTCAGAGTTGGTTTAAATGGATTTCCACACACTAATGTTAAGATGCTGTAAGAGTATCATGTAATGATGTACATGTTCATTGTAATGCTCTATTTTTAAGCTTATAATAGTCTGCCAGGCTTTTTTTTACATTCCGACCAGCTGGCTTTGTTACAGATTGGTCAACAACACCCTATGTCATTCACAAGACAAAAAAGATATCTGGCAATTTGCAATAGAAAGCTCCACACACAGAAGGCATATGGATTTTCTGTCCCTGAGTTGTCACCGGCTGATACATTCAGATTAAACCCTACTGATGGAGCCACAACTGTATTCTTCTTTGATTTATGGCACACTGAGATGCAATGTTTGTCAAAGAGATTAACAAGAACTGTGTTGGCGCAGGGCTGAATAACAAGAGCCTGATATCTAGGTAAACTAGATAATATACAGAAGATTTTCTCTGGCATGGTATATCATGTCCTATAATAAAAGTAGTGTAAACACAGATGATATAATTTGCACATGTATACGGAATGGAAAAACAAACCAGTGCTCAAATGAAAAAGTTATACATTTCAGAGTTGTTAGCTTCGTGGTGTTACATTAGAATTAGAGTATCCACGCCTGCCCTCTCTCTGACCTTTCACAGCCAGTCCTCATGGCTTGTTAGCGCCACCGGGGTGAAAGCACAGTTGCCAGATGATATCCGTTAGCCTTTCGTATATACTCTCTCAGTAACATGTAACTTACTTTTGCACATGTTTGTTTTATAGAGAGCAATTTATAGAAATAATTCACATGCATGCTATTGAAGCATAGCATCACTGATGTTTGTCCCTACTGTGATAAATGCCAAATGAATGAAGCCTCTCTCATTCGTACTGGTCCCCGCCTAAGCATGTACTGGACGGAGATTTTCCAAACTCTATGCCAAGTGTTCATTATTGAACTGGATCCAAATCCTCTGGCTGCCCTATTTGGGGTAATAGGAAAGGAGATGCGTTTAACTGCAGAACGGCGGCGATCTCTGTCTTTTGCTCTCCTCTTAGCTCGTCGAGCCATCCTGCTTAGATGGATAGACAGTTTCCCGCCCACTCATCTACAGTGGTTGACAGATGTTATGTCCTGTATGAAACTTGAAAAGATCAGATACTCGCTTCTATACTCAAACAGCAAATTTCAGGAAGCCTGGGGACCTTTTATAAATGCATTTGAAACTCTGTAAATCATTCTGTTATTGGTTTAACTTAAGTGCAGCATATGTATGTAGGCCTATGTATGTATGTATACATGTATGTATACAGCAAATGTGTATGTGTAGGTTGCGTGTGTGTATATGCATTTGTTTTACATGCATAATACGCATCCAACAATATGTCTGGCATATATTCGTGTGTATAAGGATCACTGGCAGTGATAGGGGATTACTTTAGTCGTTGTTATTGTTTGTCTGTGTTTTTCTTGTTTTGTTTTTTATTTTTCCTTTTGTACATACAATCAGCACAGACCAATCGCTCATTTGCGTTGGCATATATTATGTTTACCATTACTCTCTGACACACACTGCTTATTAATTGTCGAAACTAAATACAAATATTTTTGATTTGAAGCATAGCATCACCACTATCTTTAATTAACTGCTTTGCAGAAAAAGGACACATTACAACAGATTCATGCTTGGCTTAATATAATAAGCTGCAAGTGGCTCATTGTATCCACTGATTATCAGCTTGTAAAGATCACATTTCTATTATTCGTAACTTGACGTTTCATTTGTCATATTCTCCAGCGTACATATTCATTATAAAACAATATTTCATAACTTAATATTACCTTATAATTGCACCTTTGTGTCTGAAAACTGCTTTTTCAGTCCCCACGGCCATTTATGTATTCCTTGGGTGCTACTTATGTCCTTCCAAAGATTTCCAATCGAAGTCTTGATACGTCCTTTGTAAACACCAAATTCAACTTTAAATCCTTGACTTTTAGACATTTTATTTCATCACAGATAATGCTGCCTTCCACCTTTCAAGGACTACACAGCAAGCCATTCAAAGCAGTAAATAAAGTGCAGAGAGATATGACTTCACATTGCCATTTTCACACCTTGTATTGCACTGCCTCAACCAGTGATAGCAGTACGTTTCTGTGAACATTAATTTTAAATGAATAATGTATCCTTGCCTGATCCTTTTTCTTGTCTGTGGTAGTAAGATTATCCCAACAAATACAATTTGCTTAGAGCACAGTATATTTCTTTCCATATGTATTTCATGTCTCACTGCTTTCCATTTAAGTCTGCATTCATTTTCAGCAGCTATGGTGCACTGTTTTGCCTCCTCAGGGTGTTGTGAGTATGCTGGCTTACATCTGTGTGTTTTTGTCAGTGTGATACCAATTGCAAGTTGTGCAGATGACAAAAGTCTTGGCGAGATTAAAGGCTATACTGCTGGAGATCTTTCATCTCTGGCAGATGCTACCCATATTGACAGACACAACTCTCTCGTGAAAATCACATTAATAAATATCAATTTAAAAGCCATTCCCTTCTCGGATGACATACTTTAATAGGTGGAGTCGCTCCTGTTATAACTATGACTATCAAAGGGGTCTAAGAAAGCAAAATGTCACTATAGTCAATGTCATCTGATGTGTTAAATTGTAGAGAAGGGATGATTATAGACTACACATTGTCATGTATATGGATTTATACCAAACATATGAAACATAACCATTAGTTGAGGTTTAAGGGATGTAATTGAACACTTTACTGAAGGTGGATTGGTCATTAAAAGGGAAAACATGGGAACATTGGAAAATATGTATTACTTTTGTATCTGTGTGTTATCTGTTAAGTCTCTTTCGCTGTTAGGAAGCCAGCCATCCATATTTATTCGGCTTATCTAAGTCAGGGTCATGCCGATCAGATCTGAGTATCAAAAGCCTGTTTTACCCAAGCACCCTCCTCAGGTTCCTCTCCTCATAGTTGGTCAGGGAACATGGTCATTAGCCTTGTCCAAATCCACCATCCAACACATGTAGACAGGATTTGCATATTCACATGAGACCCTGATTATCTCCATGCAGTTAAAAAGCGTGTCCATTTATGAAACACACTAACAATTAGAAATGTCTCTTGTAATGCTTGACAGTCCAAGCAGCCGTGCACTGCCTGATGCCGCGCCCAAATGCCTAAAGATAAAACAAATCAGAACTGCTTATTTACTTACTTGTCTGTTCATTTTGTTTCTCTGCTGTATTACAGTACTGTATACTGTAGCAGTGGCTGCTGTTAACTGCATGAAAAATAATGTTGGCGGTATGACCACCAAACAACAACGTAAGTAGGGGAATTAACTATACCAACTTGAAATCTTCTGCCTGTCATGTTACACAACATTCAGCCCGCTGTGAAGAAAAATAATGACATTATATACAGTAATAATTTCAAAGAAAAAACTGAACAGTTTTATACATATTGACAAAAAAATGTGTATAAACCAGGCAGTATCATCATGATGTATCTCATTACACAATCTCCATGGCCTTCTATACCTGTCCACAAGGAACCCTCAGACTTCCACCTGCTCACCTGTTTCCACTTCCCCTCATCAGCCCATCGCAGCCCATTTTTCCCAGTTTGTTAAGTAAGCTTTTGCCATGTGTTTCCAGTCATCTGACCTGGCCTGCCTGCTTGCACTTGCACAATTGTCTGCATTTGGGTTTTTTCCCTCTCATCAACCTCACAGCTATCTGATGACATGCTTAAAACTACAACTACAAACTACTATTCAGGAATAGTAAGTAATACCCATTCTACTTTTCCTCACTGCCCTTTTTATAAATCAACTGAACAATGAAAATTGCATTCAATGTAATTGTCATTGGCAAAAAGAAAAGAGCATAAGCATTTACTCTGACACTTGCAGGCTTTTCAGTTGTGTCCAATACCTTAGACAGCACAACAACAAAATAAGGCATTTCATTTCTATTATTATCGCTTTCTGGCTTTAGGTAGAAACAGAATTTAGAAAACAAGATTGTTGAATGCCTCTGCTGAGGGCTTGATGTGTCTAGCCTGTCTTTGGTAATTTAATGCAGCCAAGTCTGCCACTGCACATGGCTGCTTGTCTTTGTGCAAAGTGGAAACGTGAGTATTAAACATTCTCACCTGAAAATAGACCTTACTCTGTGAAAATCATCCAAATCCTGCGCCAACAAGACCCACAGAGCTGTTCAGTGCGAGATTTTGTTGTTGTTGCAATTATCTCTCTATTGAATGTCTTGAATTATGATTCATTACATCCTGCAAAATACATTTGCTCCCTGGCTACTGTCAGATGCGAATGTTCAAGGATGTTAGGATAGAAGTGCGTTGTGAAGCGTCTTTGTCTTTGTGTCATATCGAGGGCAGGATCTGATCCAAAGATATAAATGACGTGCCTATCATCTGAAGGAGAGAAAGTTGTATTATACCACCTGCACATCCCTTGAGAAGCATTATAATCTGTAATGGCGGAGAAAATCCCATTACCTGTCACAGATTTCTTCCCTCATAATTGCTGGAGCCTCCCCTTTGGGAGGGATGGGGGTGAAGGACGACAGACACGCTGATATCAGACTATCTTCAGGAGAAATCTAGGGGACATCTATTTTCATCTTGTCATTCCTGTAGCAAGGTTTGGCCTTTCTCAACCCTTGAAATAGAGTTTTCAAATAAAACATTACCGCAATAACACGACTGCACCACCATCATTTGATGCTAAAGACCTAGTGTGCTGACAACTACATCACTTGTTGTGGTGAATAACTGGTGATTTAAATAGCCTTTAAGCCAAATTGTATTATAATATGACCAGTATCTCGTTTTTCTTTGTTTCCTATGATCGTTATAATGCTTTGTTTGATTAAAAAAAAAGAAAGATCTATTTCTTGGTATGTAATCTCTATTGTCAATAGATCAATATGTTTTAGTTAAAGGTACAACTATGAATCTAGTATGGGAATTTAGCATTGACCCTGTATGCATTCATTACTTATCAATCCACATGTACCCATCCTTTCTTTCTGATCTAGGTCCAGATGATGGAAGAGTAAACTTGATTCAACAGAGCATTCCAAGGTTAGAAACCTTTCCTTATATTGTAATCGTCCATGACATTCCAGTTATTACCCAAGATAATGGGCTGCCTACACATGAAGGCCTCAAGAAATCACCTTTATAAAATACCTCAACCACACCAATTAGCTCATTGTGTTGGAGCAGGGATTCTATTGTAAGATCATCATGATACCCACGCTCCTAACCCTTTGTCTAAGCCAAGATATCCTATGAAGCACGGTGGCTATATGAATCTACAATCTCACTCTTTTAGTGCAACGTAAAACACAACACCTTGTATTGCCTCTAATGCAGGGACGCCTTCTACAGCTACAAAACCGCCAAAGGTGTGACATTAGAAATACAAGATCACTCGGTCCATACAGTTGTTTGCTCTTCTCCCAGAGCTCCATTTGTAGCTTTACATCTACCAGTCAACCCAATTACAACATATTTAAACACATGGGGGTCTTCTTGTCCACTAAATAGCTCTGAGTTTTTCTGTTCCACCCTGTCAAGACAATAAACAAGATATAGTTGTAATTCAACAGAATTTGAAGAAATAGTACCCCTGTGAAAACGGAATGTATTCATCTTCAAGTTACGTAAGAAACCTGCTAGACATTATATAAGCCTCAGTCTCTTCATAAGAATAGAAACGGATTAAATGTACTCTCTATCTAGCTGCTAAATATCTGAAATAGGTTCTAGCATAAATCTCATTTGAGTATCTTATGCGTCTCCCATGCAAAAACCCTATCTCTTTTTCAGGCTCTTTTTTTGTCCTCTGATGGAGCACATTTCTGTTGTATTTCATCACTTAATCCTCTCGTCTATGATTTGTCTGGTCCAAGAAATAATTTGGTCCAGGTGTAATGCCTTGGATGAGACTGCTTTGTTTGTTTGCCTTGTTATTTCTTCTATATTGTGGTGCAGGTTGAGTGGAGCGATTCTCTGAATGATGGCATGCCCCCATTTTTAATGAACTGTTTATCTTGTGTCTGGTTTCTGGCAACGTTTGATGTTTGCTCATGGAAAGAAAGAGCGAGAACAGAGAGAGACGGGGGATAGAAAACCTGCTTGTGACATTTTGTTTTGTCTTTGTTGAAATGAACAGATTTCGGTACACGTTTAAAAGAGCAACGAAGAGACATCAACTCTGAGGGTATTCAGTTTTGATTAAGGTCCTTTTGTGATGTCCCCTGTAAGTTATGTTAAACTGTACAGTTCCTCCATGATTAGAGGAAGATAAAATATAGGTTTCTGATACTGTAGAAAATATGGCGTACTTACAGTCCAAGAATAAAGAATATGATTTGTTCTTTTTTACCTACTATGCCTTGAATAATGAGTTTGGATGTTTCTCCCTCAAGTATGCGTTGTCTAAAGCCTGCAGAAAGACCTTTTGAGCAAATAGTGTGCTCTAACTTCAGGTTTCTTGATTAGAAAAGATTGTTGAGTTACACATAATTAATTCTACACCAAAAAGCATCTTAATGTTGTTTCAGTCACATTTACTCAAAGACTTTCTCAATGCATAGTAAAGTAATGAAGTTATAAAGACACGATGCCTCTATGTCCTTGTTCGTTTTTGTGATATGCTAATGTATGCAGATTAAGGGTCCATTAGCATCTCAGTCCCAGGAGATATCTTGCATGTACTGATTGTATTTCTGGAGCCAAAAAAATGATATAGGCTGGCCAAGTTTTTTCCCTCTCCTCTGGCTAATTGTTCCGTTAGCCTTCATCCAAACAATTATTCCAGGCTTTTGAAATAACCAGACAGCTTATTCTCGAGCGAAATCAATATTTGTTACTAGTTTCCGACAACACAATTACATGTTGGAAAGGTATGATTCAAAAGTGTGCAGTGCCGTTGAGTACAGTTCGCAAGAGAATGCATTTCCTCTATGAGGTGTGCGTAATTAAAAGGAACTTTATTTATTGTATTCCTCTTTTCAGCAGCCGTTTTACAAGTAGAATTTCCTCAAGCAGAAATATCATCCTCTCAAAAGTTAGCAAACATCTCAAACTCTTTCTCAGAAACTGTGCTACCTTTCAAAGTGCAAGATAAACTACAAAGCACGAGTGTAGGTGAACTTGTCTGGAGCAGCTGCATTTAATACTGATTTATTGACTGTACAAAGATAAATGACTAACAGCTGTGTTACTAGCAGCAGTGACATTTTCACTAGGTACATTTCCTTTTCTTACTGTCCCCATCCTCCAGGCATTCTTCTATCTAACACTCACACAACCAGCACACTCGACACAAACCAACAAATTGCATTGCACCTAGTTATCATGGAACTTAGACCACACTTAAAATTCCTTAATTTACTACTATTTTTTTAAATACTTGTAATCTGATCTGACTGGACCGTCTCAAAAGCAGGGATATATTTATGTAGCACCTCCTTTGCATTGTGCGCCGAATATTGAGCTTCCCAAAATGTGTATAATTTAATATTTTCAAAACCATATCCAAAATCATTACCGGATTTGTCGGGGGCTTGGAGATTAACATGGCAGATAACATTTGTATTTATCTATCAAGACAGTAGGGCGGGACCGGACACAATTGTATGTTCCCCTCTGTCTCTGTTACTGATAGGGGTGTTTTGTGCTCACTCAGCATACTGTAGCTTTAGGCTTTGAGTCAGAATGAGTGCGGGAAATCAACTGGGAAAAAAGCCCGGGGTGTCAATGTTTTACAATATAAAATGATATAATTAAAATAATAGAACCATTTACTTAATGTTTTCTGTTGAGCACTTATTGAAATATTGTACTTATTTACTTAACACTTATAGTTATGTCTACAAGACCTACACTAAAGTTGTCAATTGTGTGTCGAATATACACATGGATACTATGTATATCCGAACAAAACTTTTTTATCACGGCTATAGAAAGTCATTCTCAGTTTGGAAGTGTGTCTTATTTGCATAGTAACAAGACAGCAGATGCTCACTTTATAGGGGAAAGAACGTCTGATATCCTCACAGGTTATTGCGATATGTTTTAACGCTCTATGTAATATTGTAAATCGAACAGATGCTTCAGTAGTTAAATTGAAAATGAAAACCATTTTCACCTTTCTAATGTTCCAACTGTTATTAAAACATCCAAGAAAACTCTGTGGATGAAGGGCGAGTCACTTAAAGAGATGGACGGCTTTGCAGCCCAGCCCAGCCAGAGGGGTTCAAGGTGTGATGAATACTAAAAAGAGAAGACTATGAGGAATAAGATTTATTTACATGCACAGCAACAACATTATTGAGTCATCAATAAACCTTCACCTCTAACCAGTAAATCTGTCAAATGCTTAATCAAACAAAATCTCAAACCAACAGCGTCTGATCCTCAACATGAGGGCGCATTAATGTGTTCTATTGACATTAACACAGACATGCAAATCTGCATACAAATGATGCTGAATTAGCTGGTTCACTTTAGGCTGTTGGAAGTTTTAGGGGACATTCATCCGTAGGCAAAGTGATACACTCCCAAAAAAAATGTAAAACATATTTCTGACATAAAAATGGACCTCATTATTCAATCAATGAAATGACAGTCTATATTATTTTATGTAAATACAAGTAGCGTTTTTTAGGGGAAAAGATTGTCTTTCCTTGTTGAATATTACTTGAAAACACACTTGCTTCGTGTGCAAATACACCTCAAATGCTATCAATCACGACACATATCATTAGTATGAGTGTAGTCCTCTGTGACCTTTTCAGATCACATTATGATAGTGAACACAGTGAGAAGGTCATCGAGCGTCCTCTCTCTACCAAGGGGGGGAAGGCACAATGTAAGTTGCTTCAATTTCGATATTACAGGAGGGAACGCGGAACATGCTGATTAGAAAAGGCCCATAAACAAAGAACATACAGCTGACACTACAGAACGTTCATTATCTATGACTGCACTTTTGAACCATCACATACCAGTTAAAATCATACGGCTACAAATGGCCATGAATTATTAATGTTGAAGCAGACTTTACATGTAGGCTACTTTTTAGTTTGATCTTCTGACAGACTGCATGAAGTGCTCATCTCAATAAGTCATAATTCGTACATGTAGACTTTATAAATGATGTCAAAGACGGATTATATTACCTTTTTAAGGAATCAAGATTTTTCTAGAAATCGCTCTCAAGATTACATTAGTGAAAAAAGGTGAGATATTACAACTCGTAAAATTCCAACTAGCGTACAAACACACACTTTCAGCTCCTCTGCCCTACAAACACCGTTATGTTTGCCCGCAGCACCTCCAGCTATAGACAAACTGAGAACTCTGACTAGCTATTTAATTCTGCTCAGGTAAGGCTGAACTCGAAACAACCCCTGCTTTGACCTTATTAATTAATTTCTCTGGGACTTTCTATTGATTGGAAAACAGTGGCAAAATAGGCTGCTGCTGTATGTTTGTATATCATAATCCAAATATGGAAAGAAGACTTGGTCATAAGGCTGATTCGATGATATGACCTAAGGACATTCACCTAATAGGTCTTTGAGTTTACAGTTCAACAGCAGTCATAGATTCTAACCATTTAGACACATGAGGAACATCCACAATGGACAGAAAGGCATAAACTATGGTTAGATTCAGTAGGTTACTTGAGATTGCGGCCTTTTCCATTGTTGGCAAAATGACCAGAATACATGGTCCTTGTTAACCGGCTGCCCCCCCCTCTACATCCTGTAGCAGCAGGGAGAGTGCTGAGGGGCAGAAGGGTTGTATAGTTGAATAATATTCAGCTATACAACCCTTCTGCTAGACATATTATGTTAGTCTAGTCAGCCCAACTCATTGATCTTTTATCTGAGGGATGTTTGTGCAAGTAAGAATCAATGGCTCTGACCAAGGCTCTGAAAAAGCAGACAACACTTGCTGCAATTAGTCATGTGAAATTCTAAGCAGGCCTCATTCGCGCATATTTAGAGACAGTTTTTTATTCTTCAGCATCCACTTTATTTTGTGGAGTTCATAACTACTGCTGAGAGTTTCTGATATTTCTCAGTATGTGGTAGAAAAACAACCTCTTGCTTTCTTAAATCATCAATGGCCCTTCCTACTCCAAGAAAAGTAATAACAGAGCAAACATTACCGTCAAATGCAACCATTCGTCAATTCCATTATCTGCAGTGGGAGACCATATATTGGCCAATGGTTCGTTAACATTTCCTGTGCCACTTTTTCAGGACTTTAGGGGCATACTGCATGTGTAACACCTGCACTTGCCTTTCATAACAGGCTAGCTTTTTTCTGTCACCATTCACTGGGTATGCGTATAAAACATGCCATTTGGGATTATTCAGACATAACTCTGAGATGCAAAATGTTCCATTCATGTAGTGATTAGTGCACTTCAAAAAAGAACACTAAGAAGCTGACATTACTGAAGTAAAGGATTAACTCTGCCGTGATGACTGCTTCCTGGCAGACACAGTCAAAGGTGTTATGGGAGACATACTCCACTGCAATCACTATGAGCAGTTTTGCCTTAGCCTGAGATTGCCTTTTTTAGGCTAAACTAAGCATTGTTTTCCACCACCAGGGTATTTTTTATTTTGTTATTTAGCCTTTATTTATACAGGTGTAGATCTCATTGAGACACAAGGTCTCATTTTCAAGAGAGACCTGTCAGTGGTAACACTACCACACAAAGTTACAGACAGACAGGACACTAAACACAGAGGCAACACTAAAATACAACATCGTAACAAAGTAGTCATTAAAATCCATATACAGCAGTCAGATATAGCAGGTGCAAACACCGTCAGATGATTTCTCCAGCTTTTTTTAAATGAGTTTAAAATCCGTGATGGGTATCAAAGTGGTCAGCTTAAGTTCCTGCTGAAGTGTATTCCAGATCGAGGGGGCAGAGTACGATATGGCTTTTTTCCCAAGCACCGTGCTTACTGAGGGGACGGACAGAGTGATGTAATGTTGAGATCTTAGTCTATAGCTGTACTGTTTGTGTGATATGTAAGTAGATATGTAGAGGGGCAGCAGTCCAAGCATAGCGGTATAGATCAGTTTGTACCAGTGCAGTGATCTGCGCATTGATAATGATGTCCAGTTGACTAAAGCGTACAGCGTGCAATGGTGTGCGAGGGGTTTACAGTTGGTTATGAACCTCAGAGCCCCATGGTAAACAGCGTCCTACAGATGAAGGGAGTGAGCTGAGGCGTTCATGTACACAACATCCCCGTAGTCCAAGAGCGGCAAAAATGTAGCAGCTACAAGCCGTTTCCTCGCACTTGTGGAGAAGCAGGCCTTATTTCTAAATATAGGTATATAATGATTTGGAGATAAATTGTAATTACATTGGTAAAATGTCAACCTCATAAAAAGAAAATGTGATAATGCCATATTTGCACATTGACTAGTCTCCTATTGTGTAGATGTGATCGTGACATTTAATGTCTCGGGTAAACAATCGAAGTACAGGCAGTGAATGAACAGAGCAGCACTTGAGGCTCTCTCTCTCTCTCTCTCTCTCTCTCTCTCTCTCTCTCTCTCTCTCTCTCTCTCTCTCTCTCTCTCTCTCTCTCCCTCTTTTTTTGCACATAATGCTTACCTACTGTTTAATTTTGTAATTAACATACATGAATCTTTAACTCATCTTAATTGAATTGCGGCGATTTTAATTAAGGGCTATTTTAAAACTGTAATGGGACACGCCTCTATTACTCTTTGTCTGATAAACGCAGGGGGCAGGGCAAATGAACACGCTTAACTTTAATGAAAATCAAGAGATCATGCATTAATGCTGCCTGAACAAAAAAACCTTATTCAACAGACACACTGTATTTCTGGAATGCCTTTCACTGCAGGTGATGTTTGACATATAATGCATTACAGAAATAAGATAAAAAAAACAATAAACAAGGCTTTGTCCTCCCAGAACTGTTCCTGATCTCTTTCTCTCATACCCTCTTGCACCACTTGACAATCCCTCTATCATGATTGATAGAAATTACAGTTATAGTAGACAGAGGACAATTCCCCTGCATATTCCTAGAAAAGGTAATAACAGGAAAGGGGCTTTTGTCAAAGTAATGACTCATCAATGTTCTCCCACAAACCTCTGCTCCAGGAGGTGAAGATAATGTCAAAGTTGGACACTTTTCTTTGCTTCAAAGAATTGTACAGATACATATGACATTACAGTTTAATGAGCCGAATGTCTCTGAATGTAATCCCTCAGTGATACCCATGCTGTGCAGCCTTTATTAGATGCACTGCAATGCATTTATATATGGTTCTGCTTCACCATAGAGGCTGTGGCAATGTGCTAGTGTGGAACTCACTCTGTAATATCATCTCAATGTCATCCCTGAGATAATCATGAAATAGCTTTGGAGTTTCTGATGAAACTGAAAGCGTGAACTAATAATAGCATGAACAAATAATGCTTCATCAACTCTGCCGATGAAAATGAATGATCAAGGGAACTGAGTCTCTGAATGCTACTTAAATGGGAGGGAAAATACATCTATCCTGAAATCCTCTTGCATTGCTAGATATCATCTGTTTGTGTGCAGTGTATTATTGAAGTGTTGGAGTTTATTATTTTTAGTGAACCCACTTCCCCCCATGAACCATCTTTCCCTCACATATCTCGTCAGCTACCACTCCAGCTAGCAATTTCATTTGGTTCTTGCAGAACTTCAAACACCATCTGAAGTGGACTTGTTTCATTCAATCAAAGGTGTTTCCACTCTACACATGGGGTCTTGGGTTCTACCAATGGCTGCATTGAATTCTAGGGTGCTGATGCGACTGTCAGTGTCGAAGGTTCTTCTGCCTCATCTTGATGTGTTTCTTCGTGTCTGACTGTTGGACATTGGTGCACATTGTTTTATCTAAATAGTTATCACCGCAATAAACCGTATTTAATTTTGTCTTAATGTACAATATTTAATTTCACATTCTGTTCTTGTATCATATTCTTCACTATTTTTAATATGTATTTGTATTTTTGTATTGTATTATATGTGTTGCATTGTTGGAGGAGCTCGGGTCATAAGAATTTCTTAGCCATTTCTACACTGTATGTGCATATGACAATAAAACCTTTGAATCTTGAAATAATGATGAGAAAGATGGCGGCGCAGACAGCAGCAGCGGCCACTAGCTCTCCTGAGTCTTTAGTGTTTTTAACGTTTGTTCGTCTAGTTCGTCTTGTTCACTTCAAACACCAATAGTACAGTATTGATATTGAAGTGACTGTTATTTTGTACATATTTTTATACATATCTGTATACTGTATAATTTTACATTCGGGATTGTTGGAAACGTCATTTCGATCTCTCTGTCTGTAAACACAAACTGAGTAAGATTGACATTAAAGTTGACTTTGAAAATAGAGCCAAGCCCATTCTACTTGATTTTGAAGCAGTGGCATCAACATATAGCAAGCTTAACAGTCTTTGATTGTTCACAAAATTATAGCCAAAATAGAAATATGTTAATGTACCATTACATCAGAAGAACCAACAAAAAGGAGTGTGAGCACTTGCCAATATCGGTTTTTGAAAATGTGAACGTGTGTTCGGTTTTCCCTTTCTACAGGCTGTCCTCTGCTCAGAGGTGCCCTTGTATTCGGCACAGCAGAGAGGCAGTGGGAGAACTCGTGGTCTGCTGGTCTTCCCATGCCCTGCTGCTTCCTGCTGCAGGGAATGAGAGATGCTTTGGCATGATGGTGGTGATGACATTGTCTGATTCACCATGGTAACTGACACATTGGAAACAAATCTGTTTATTCCCACACGACCAACACCAAGCCGTCACATGCTAAGGAAGACAAATCTTTAATAAATTAGCCTTTAGGCAAAAATAATGAGTGATTAAGTATTTCCAAAGGTTGGGATGCTTTTTAATCTATTCTACGGATGAACCGGATGGTATGCTCCAAATAAAATCTAATATGATGTGTTCTTTAAGGTGTGAATAGCTGTCAGAAATTGCACAGTGAGAACATGCTTGTATGGCTTTGACTTCAACACCTGGAGGAGCTTACAGTATGAATAACGATCAGAGCATATGGATTGATATTTTGCGGATAACCTAATGAAGCAGATGTGAAAAGAGTTCCCTTAATAGAGAATGTAAATTGTGGATATGGGGCCCAGATACCTTGAAAAAGCAACCAATTACATGATTGATCACTAGGTGAGCGTGTATTACATTATGTAGGCATTTTTATATTTCTGGTATATTTTACCTAACTATGATTGTACGCTTTGTTTTAAGTGCGGAGGGTAACATGCTTTGTATATTTTAGCATTCTTTTTTATGTAGTAAGTATTCTTTTCAATGATTAAAGGAACAAACGGCATGCTGAATATTTGTCAAAAATCACAGAAACTGCTGCAAACTGTAGCAAGAAGTTGTATCATGGTTGTTGCTGTTAATAGATTACACATGTATAATGCACAACTCATGTTCATGCTGTGTGTCCCAGTTAGCAAATCTATAGGGAGTTGACCCGTGTCAGATCACATAGCTTTATTGTAGGCTACCCAACATTTACTTTAGTTATTTTCTAAAGATTCAGCTCTTCTAAGATAATATTAATTCTCCGTCCACAGCCTTCTAAAAATCAAATCCTGTAATCAAACAGGCATATTGTACTCAAATGGTTATGTTTTCCAAAAGGATAGCGGCAAAAAAACAGCACAACGTGAGAATGGTGTTGGTGAAGTCTGGGTGAGAGAGTACATGTCCATCTGTCACAACTTGTTCATAACAGTTATTTTCTTGCTTATTGATTTTCTCAATATATCTCCACAGTTCATGTTCTCTTTCTTTTCTTCTCGCTTGCCACTGATCGAACTTATGTCCCTCCTGACTTCTCCTTGCTTTCTCTTTTCAGACCCTCCAAGGCAGCCGGTTCTCTGTTGGTTTTGTGTCTGTGGTCGCATAATGATCTCAGATTTGCAACATTAGAAAATGCCACTTTAACGTTCAACGTTTAAATGCTAGTGTTTAGTGTAAACCAGCTGCATTTGATGTTGAAGCACATTACAACCCACACTTTTTCAGCCTATATTGCGCCACATTAAACCACAACCAGTACATTTTCAAATGTATCAACGACAAGTCTACTAGTTAAGTGAATATAAGACTATGATCATATTAGATTTTGACATTAGTGTGTGGCTTATGTTATTCAGATTCTTCTCATCTGGAGCTAGATGACTTGTTGTCTGAATCTTCAATGTACCGCCCTAAGGTAATTATTCCCCAGCATGTTGTCTTTAAACTCCTTAAAGGATGTGACGTGTCTAATTACAACTCAGTTATGAGAATAATCACTGTAGAGAATGTGACAATGTAATGTGAGTTCTAAACTCCCATCTCAGAGCTTGGCATTTCCGTCACGATCACAGGCTTTGTAATGAAATGGGTTTTGTCTGCCCATGGATCATTGCTTTCAGCTGATTAAAGAATGATAGGAAAGACTATATAAATCAAAGACAACCAACCCAACTAATTAGCTATCCTAACCATTACATCCACTAACAACCGCTGGAGGTGGTTTCTCTTATGTAATCCATGTCATTATTACACTGTGTCACTGTAGCTTGTAAACGATCACATCTGATAGAGTCAACTAAGCATAGTGAAAGAAAAGGCATATTGTATAAAAAACGATAGGAAGATTGATAGTGCTTATTTGGGTGAAAACAAACTTTCCGCTATTCTTTAGGACTTGATTCTCAAGGGCAAACAGGGCGCCTGGTCATTTCAATTACTGAGTCTGGCGAAACACATCGGCTCGATTCTAATTTGTCTTTATATCAATTAATAAACCTTGACAGCAACATTACATCAAGGTACAAACCAATGAATGAAGGACATGGCGTTACTTAATGATTTAATTAGAGAATTCTACGTTGACATTGTGAGAATACAAAATAACTCCGCCTCCCCTGTGTGAGCAACACACAGGACACAAAGCTGGAGAGATAATCCACTAACTGCAAATAATCTGTGGCAATTGTCTGCCTTGAGTAAAGACTGCGCCCTCAAAGGTTCACCTTCATAGTGGGGCTATTATGTTTCTCCTGATATGGGACTGATGCTAATCAGTGTGGATTGTATTTTATGCCTTAAGGCAGGAAAATGTGCTGATGAGAGCCCCACAATAAATGAACCTTATCACCTAATGGCATCTCAGCCCACCCTGTGACTGAAAAAGCCCTTGCTAAATGTCATGGCCAGGCAGAATGCACATGTGAGATAATTAGAGAGAATGAATGACCCACAGATGGATTGGTCGGTCATCATTATTGCTGATAGCAAACTCAGGGGTCTCTCGGAAACACTATCAGCAAATTGAAATGCCATCCTCAGAAAACATTTTAGTCGATGCTTGAAAGCAATGATTAGAAAGGAAAACTATTGCCACTGACCTAAACGGAGGGGAAATGTTTTACTTGACAAAGTTCAACCCTGTTAATATTGATTCATCCTGCATATATGTTGTACTTGTGGCAACTACGACTTACATCACATAACAGCTCTGAACGCAGAACACGTGACAAATGTCTACACACTTCACGTTGCAGTACCCTGCTGTGTGTACACAAATTGTTGATGTGCTGAACAAAATACTCAACTGGGAAGTTCTCACTAATTGTACACACACTGAAGAGCTGCCAGGTGAAGTTAATTAGAAACACACAATTACTGTGACTGTTTAATCTCACACTATTTATGTTTTTATCCTTGGTAATAAGAAAGGCTGTCATGAGGCACTATCACTTGTTGACTGCAATGCCTTTGATAGACTGGATGTATTCAAACCATTAAAAAATATATTATAACATATAATACATAACATAGCAAATATATATTGCTATCACTCTTATACATACATCGAAAAAACTATAATGAAACAGTTAAGGGGGTACTTTCACACTGCAAAGAGGTTTACAAGTAATTGCCCACCATTTTACCCTCCAGCATGGACACAAATCTTGACACAAAAATATAGATTGTTTTTGGCTCTATGCAAGCCGTAATATAATTCATTAATACCTTGTGATATTGAGATTATCACTCCAATCAAATACTTGTGTGTGTGTGTGTGTGTGTGTGTGTGTGTGTGTGTGTGTGTGTGTGTGTGTGTGTGTGTGTGTGTGTGTGTGTGTGTGTGTGTGTGTGTGTGTGTGTGTGTGTGTGTGTGTGTGTGTGTGTGTGTGTGTGTGTGTGTGTGTGTGTGTGTGTGTGTGTGTGTGTGTGTGTGTGTGTGTTTTCAGGATGGCAACGCCCTATAGAGCAGGGCTAAGTAGGCAATCACTCATTCTGAGTAACGGCAGAGGTGAAATGTAAGTAAACTCTATGAATGTGCACGGCCACCCGAGTGCCAGATGCTGAGAGCCGCTGCCAACATGGCATGTGAGTGACTCATTAAATCAGAAGAGTGAAATCTCTGATGGCTCTGTCTCTCATTCAAACCAGCACCTAATCTCCCCGGGACTTTCTTCGATCAGGGAAAGCATCCAGCTGGGACAGTTCCCGATTCATTATTGGCATGAAAATAGATAAAGATTTTTAAAAAGAATAGGACCATGGGGATGCAGCCATGTTATTAGAGAAAGGAAAACAGTTTCCTGTAAGCAGCAGATTATGAAAACATTAAGCAACAATTACCGTAATGAGAGTTATTGAAGCGGCAAGGTAGCAGACAAACTGTGTGCATCTGGTTGCTGCATCTGGCTGCAGTGGCAAAACATCTAAAGGGGCAGACGGAAAGTCATTCATTTGTTATAGCCATTCCTTCCCTGTGGATGGAGAAATGGCATGTCCGTTATTGTCATGCACTGAACTGATCTCTCCAGCTGCATGTTGATGCATGCGCTGCTAGTGCACTGTGAGAAATTTGGAATATGTC